CATCTGTACGTATATGAATACGTCGATCTCGGAATGTGTAAGAGCTAGACATTTGATTTATTTCGAATTATTGATATCGTTTTCAGTTCCCATGAAATCTATTTAAACTTAAGCTCTTAAATCATATCGCTTACAACAATAAAACGAGAGTCTCAAAATTATATTCATACATTTTTTATTTATTTATTTTTTGGATACAAAATTCTTGAAATTTAATATCAATAGCCATAACAATATATATATTTTGCGAGGATCCTGAAGCAAGAAAATGTTGAATTAAATAGGTTTCCTTTCCGACTAAATATTTTTTCCGACTAAATTCATTTTACTTGCCTTAATTAAATAAGTAGACAATTAAAGTTGTATTCTCGACCATTATTAAATGTATTCTAAAAACACATTTTGACAACAAATTTCATGCAGTCTTATAAGCCGTCATGACCAAATAGCAACTCCCAGTTTCTTGGTAATATATTCTGGCAATACTTCACCTCGTCCTCACTGAGAACGTATCCATGTTAAGTCTGCACAAATTGGTGCCTGTGCCAGACGGAAGCCAAGCGAAGGTGTTGCTTTGTTAGAAAATTTCATTATTTTAGCTTAAGTCGCACAGGCACACACACACACACGCACACTGAGGAAGGCAATGTATGTGCTAGATATGTGTACACATGCCATTTATAGCCAGGGATTAAAAGTCAAATCCTTTTGTTTAAGTGCCAAAATTAATTTGCATTTGACATGCAATGGGCCAGGGCCAAAAGCATGTTGCCAGACACAGCCAGCCCCTTCCATCTGGTCTGGGCCGTAGCGCCTTGGGGGCGTTGTTGGCTTGAATGCAAAAACAGCCGAGTTGCAAAAATCTTTGGCCAGCCTCATAATGCAATTGAATGCAAAAATCTTACTAATCCGTTGATTGCGCTTAATTGAGTTGGCCATAAACGGGCAGGCGGAACGCGCAACGCGCAACGCTCAACGTTCACCAAGAGCCAAATATAATCAAATACCAATTTAAATTAACTCAACAACAATTTAAGCTAACACATAACAGCAATAGCAACAGCAACAACAACAACATGGAGCGCCTGAGCTATTGGCAGAAAATTAAATTAGTGCAAAAATGTAAACATGTTGTATGTTGTATGTGCTGAATGTGGACAACGAGGAAGGCGACTCGGACATGTAAATGACGCCCGGCACCAGCCTCGAAACATGTTGACTGCATGTAAAGTGGACTTCAGCCTAGATCAGACCAGTTGAGCCCAGAGCCAAGCCGGCCCAAGCCAGACTTAGATCCATCGAGCATCGAGCATCGAGCGGAGTCTCCAAGCCGGCGGCTTATTAATTTTGTTTCTCCCTTTTCTGTTTATATACAAAGCGCATGCACTCGACTGACTTTGGTTTCCCATTCCATGGCATGTCGTGGCATTTGAAGCTCTGGCCCATCGGCTGCTCTGGCGGTCATTCCCGAAAAAGTATCGCATTACAATTCAGTCTGGTAACATTGTTGGGCCTAAACTCATGTTAGTTCCATGGAATTATGATATTTTCTGCGTAATTTGAAACGTTTTTAATTGGCGCCTATGCCGCCCACTTCTACCTAACTCTAACCAGTTGCTTTCGCACTTTCTCTACCTCCCTCCCTCCCTCTCTCTCACTCTCTTCCTCTCACACACACTCTCGATCTCTCTCCCTCTTTCATTCTGGAGACTTGCTCAACATGCACGTAATTTGATGCTAAGCGAATTTGAAATTTTATACAAAAATGTGCGCCATAAGAAGCAGTTAATTTTTGGACTTACCTCTACGATAGGAAGAACAGAGAAGTCGTGCCTCAATGGGAAGAAAAGAGAAAACACAGACCAAAAAACTTGGCAGACAGGAAACTTAAGTTTTTTGTTACCTACACTATACTTGTGATATGGCCCTGCCGGCGAACGGCATTGCATATTTTTTGTTTACCCTTCGAACCGCATGGATTAGCTCTCAACCCAAGACCTCGGTAGGTGAGTGTAGGGTGGGCGTCGCATTCTTATCTCGACAAATTAATCAGCTTAATCCGTCGAAAACTAGCCAAGTTTTGCATGGGTGTAGCACATCCTCACTCCCAGGCAGTCGGGCTGAAGGCTGCCTTCATAGATAAGCGAAATGTTTGCAAGTTATTGTTGTTGAAATAGTCGCTGTTGTTATTATTGTTGTTGTTGTTGCAGCTAGACTACTGCTGTGTGCAACATGCAACGTTTAACGTTCACATGTTAGGTACCCAGGAACAATCGTCTTGGTTCTTCATATTCTTGTCCTGCCCCCGGGTCCTTAAAGTTGGCGTGTTTTGCCGGATTAATGCGCACTGCTTGAGGGTGTAATGCATATAATCTAATAAGCAGGTGAAATAGGTGAAATTGCCAACTGTATAGCTACGTTGAGGGGATCCCTAATGGCTAAAGTTTAAATTTGCATTAGCGGGCTGCATAAATAACAAACAAATCATAAGACCCATCAGTTATTGAATGAGCTTAAAGTAAACACGAGATCTTTATGTTTGATAAATGAAGGCACACAATAAAGAATATGCGGATTGGGGTGCGTCTTAACAGATCTTAACGGCACTATGTGATTATGTAATGGAGTCTCTTCTCGATTAGTATCCCAGGCAAATACCCGAATTTACAAACTTAAGACATAGCAGAAAGTTATTTGAAGAATAAGTTAACTGAGAACGTGAAAAAATAACCAAAATATTCAAATGAAAAATATACTTAAGTGCACATAAAACTACCAATTGCTAACACCTAAAATACATTTGGAAATTTTTATAAGTAAATCAAATTGTTATTTTACTTAAGCGAAGTAAAATCTATTGAAATCTATCAATTTTTATGAATTTAAAAAAATAGATCATTAAGACTTGATTTAAATTGAAATACTTTAAAATTAATATCTTTCTTCGTCCACTTAATGTATAGAAAAATGATGTAAGATGGGCTAATGAACGCTCCTATTGGATGATCATCGCGAAGAAAATATATTAATTTCTCTTTCCTTAGCTATTATAGAAACTTCTTGATTATGTGTATACTTAATATTTGTTTAAATTAAATAAATAACAGTTTTTAAATATATATTTTGTTTTCATAATACCGCTTCACACTTTCACCCGCAATTACTTGATTTTTTTAATGCATTCGAGTTAATTAAAATATTTATGTTTTATCATATTTTCATTGTTTAAAAGCCATTTATAGTTAAAGGTTTCATTGTGGTTTCAATTGAAAGCTTTTTAACAAATCAATTTTTAAGTAACCCCAACAAATTCGCGATCTCTTCCTGGCCTGCTTCTGGCAGTGGCATTGAAATGCTTTTCGGTTTGACAAACGCAATTGAACGAAATAAGAGCCCATTGGGTTTTGGGTATGGGTCCAGTGTAGCGGCTAGAGGGCTATTCAATTGTTACCGCAGTCCGTGTCCAGCTCATGCCACCATGCCCTAACCAATCGAGCGTACACATCAGCTTTGGCATCGGCATCGACATCGACATCGACATTGGGCATCGACTGATGGTCTGCAGGCAGACCGGTGGACCGATGGACTGCTGGACCGGCTGGGCAGACAAACATATTTGCGAAACTACTCAACATAATGGTCATGGAGTGCTATTCAGACCCACCAAACATGAGCCGCGGCACAGCCCGTCTGAGGGACTGGCGCAGCGGTGGCCATGACTAACAATAAACAAAACATTAAACTAATAGCGGAACATTGGGATGGGCTGACCAGCAGGATGTGCCTGATGTGTGGAGTGGGCAGCGCGACAACGGATTTCATTTTGAATACTACGCAAACTTTTTATGCCCACTTGTTTGTAATATTTTAAACAACTAACGGTTAGCAAGATACTCAGGCAAGCAAGCAGGCAGGCAGGCAGGCAGGCAGGCAGGCAGGCAGGCAGGCTGGCGAGCTGGCATATGGCATATGGCATATGGCGAACTAGCCACACATCGGACCATGGACAAGTGGACGGTGTGGACACGTCAACAGGAGCCGCCATCAGCCATGCTGTGGCTCATCAATGGAGGCAAATAAATAATGCAAACGGCAATTTGAGCCACAGCGCACAGGACGATGAAGCACACTGTGTGGGTCTTGGGGCGAGGGGAGCATAGGCCGAGGCCGTCTGACAGCCCACAGCTCACACATTTGCCTGCATCTTTTGAGTCAAAGGAATGTGTTTCATGAATTTTAAATTGCATACCAAATTGCAAAAAGATTGATATCCAATCTCACGCAAGGCGGCGAGCCTGCTTGCCAACCGCTCAGCTACAGACAGGTTGCTATTCCACTTGACAGTGGCTAGTGTCTGCTGTTGCTGTTACAGGTGGGAGGCTCTTCCCAGCCACAGCCACAGCCACAGTCACAGTTACAGCTTCAGCCACAGCTAGAGCCACTTGGCGACAACAAACATGCGACAACGCGGTTGCGTCCGCGTCTGGCCAGCCACTTTGATCATACGTGGCCAGACGTGGCAGGTCCCCATTGATTGGCGTTGGCTCGATAGCCTGCCGGCTTCCCGCAGGCTATTTGATGGCCGTCCCCACATCGGCCAGCCTGCCGTGCAGAAGCCTGTGCACACATTTAAAATGTATGCCTTCCGTTTGCGCATTTCAAGCATCGGAAATTGTGATTTGTGACTTAATGTATTTATATAAGTCAATGTGGCGGACAGAGAACGAGGAAGCAACCACCAAATGCTTTGTGGGGTTGTGTTGTCTGGTTGATGCTGCATGCAGTTAGTTGCTGTCCAGTCCTCCAACTGTCCAACTGTCCAACTGTCCAACGGTCCAGCTGTCGAACAGTCCAAGTGTCCAGCTGCTGTTGCAGTTATACAAACTAATTTCATATGTAAGTGGTGTAAATATAATTTTCTGGACGTGTCTGTCCGAGCCGTTGGACTGGATTGTGTGTGCCTGCCGTTGGCAATAATTTGTAAAGGTTTTTTTCCAAGCTTCGCCGTCTACTTCTTATTTATGCGGGGATTTTGAAGTGGACAAATGCCAATATGTTGCCGCTGATGAGATGTCGGTGGGAAAGCTCGGCCTGCAATGAGTTATTGTGACAGATAAAATTAACTTGGATGACATGTGTTCCAATTAAAGTGATGTAGGAATTAGGAGCGCTAGATTGGCTTAACGTTAACAATTACTCTCAATGCACTTTCACAACAGATTGTTGAACATTATATTAAAGTAGCTCATACTATTGACTGCACCTTGCGGAATTTTCTTCCATGAATATGAAAAATGTGTTTAGCTTCCTTTTGGGCTCAAACTTTATATGAGAGCAAGAGTTGGGAATTTCTAATGGAAGTTTTCATCGTCGCCTATTCAGGTTCATTAATTTCCAGTTGCGGGCGATTAGACTTCCTGTTCCCACGGGCGATAAATAAATAATGATGTCATAAGTTTTGACCGAGCAACAGGACTAGGTAATAGGACGTAGTTATAAAATAAAATCGAGCTTATGAATTCAAAGAGCATAGAAAATTTCACGCTTTTTAAGGAAGTTTTTCCTTAAGAAGAGCTGCCAATTAATGATGTGCTATCTTCCATATAAGCCAACTCATACTCTGGATTGGGACGCTTGCTTGAACACCGCTTGGCACTTGGCTAAGTGCGAGACGAACTCAAACTCAATATGCATAATTGTGTCTGCCAGGCATTACTAATTGATGTCCCGTTCTGGTCATGACCAAGCGGCAAACAAAGCGCAAATCAATCAGCTAACAAGCATCAATCAGCCAAAGTAGTCGACGTAACAAACAAACATCAGCAGCAGTAGCAGCAGCAACAGCAAAAACAACAACCTCAAGCCAAAAAAGTAAACATTATCGCTGAAATGAATCTCAAAGTGAGACTTGGACTTGGACTTGGCCCGGCTAGCATGTGTGGGCCATCATATTAATTATGTTTTTAATTTGCATAACTGTTAACACGCTCTATTAATTCCGGCTGTCGGATCGGTTAGCTGAGCCTTGGGGCAGGTAATGTGCCTCCGCCTCCGTCCATTCTCATGCCCAGGCGATAAGCACTGGCCGCCATTTACACAGCTTATTAACGTATTAACGCATCAAACACAAAAGTTAACAGCATTTGTCGTTGTTGCTGCCAAAGTTGGAAAAAGTTAAGCCAGCCGACCGAACAACCAACCGACCGGATGTGCAATGCCAAGGATGGTTAGGTGGGTGGCGGTGCCGGTGGCGGTGTAGTGCAGTGCGCACGCTTAAATGCACTTCACTTCCTATTATTGTAATTGCATTGTAATTGCAAAATAACGGGGCTGCGAGTCAAACAAGTAACACCACCCACCTTCCCGATATGCCTCTCGCGTTCCTCTTTCTCTTTCTCTTTCTCTTTCTCTAGCTACTACAGCCGCTCCTCATTGCCACAATATCCTCAGCAATTTGCTCAGGCGCTGTGTAATATACACATTTGCTTTATAATATATTATAATCATGATTATATATGCATTGCATGCCATCTGCCGCGCCATAAATCGCACCCGAGCAGCCAAAGCAACTCCCCCACTATCCGATTATTTCACAACGCGACTGTTCGGCTATTCGTATCTTGGCATGCATAATTCATTGCAGATCAATGGGCTGCGACTGCGACTGCGACTGCGACTGCTGCTGCGGCTGCAGCAACGGCTGCTGTCTGCCGGCTGGCCACACAAAATGCTTGGCAAATATGTTCAAGGCTGGGGGCCAAAATGCCACAACTAGCTACCAAGTTTGGTTGGACGCCGAGCATGCCGAGCATGATCCAGCTGAAACAAAAACGTGCCAAGAACTATGCAAAAATTATGGCTCATAGCGCACTTGAACGGAGCATGAGGATGTTCGATGCTGTGTGTACGCCCGCCCCCTCAATGCCCCAACGTCCCAACGCCCCGCTCGCTGCCATGGCATTTAGCCACACTAAAGAGGTTTCAATTACTGCCACCACAGCTACCGGCTGCCGGCTGCTGGCTGCCGAAGGCCCACTGCAACTATAAAGTCGGCCCAGCCAGCCATCAAAGCGCTGCTGTGCAAAAATTACTGTAATTCGCATCACTTAGAGTGCATATTAATAGCCATCGAATAGCCATCGAATGCCGAACGGCTAGCAATGGATCATTTGACTTTTGAAGTATATCTGCTGCAGCCCGGGCACTACTCTTCCACATGCACTTGTTGGTCGAGTGGACGCGCCCTGCGGTCACATAAATCGACTTTTAAAGTTCAGTTGTGACTAGAGATGACCACGTGATTGCTGCTCACCAAATACGCACTCGCCTCTCAAGGTCTAGTTGATGCCAGACAACTACTTAGTACACACGTGTGTAAATCTGTTATTTCCAGATTAAAGCATAGATTCATGGAACATAGTGCAATCTTCAACACTGACTTGGTTAAGCTCTATATACTGCTCAAGCCAACAATATTATATGAAACGTGAGCTATACAATTAACATTCCTTTTGCGAATAATATTTATTATTATAATTGATTATAATAATTTGTTTATTCACAACTTAACAATTGCAATTTACGATATTTTGAATCGAATTAAATCGAAACTATATATTATTATAATATAATCTTTTACTTTATCAGAGGGTTCACTGAGGTAAATACACATTATTTTTGAGACTAACTGGCTATATTTTCTCAATCATCAGCTTGCCCATACTTATATCGCTTACATTAGTGGTATTCCTAAATGCTAACACTTAACTTATTTAATTTGTAAAGGAAAACAATTTTAATCAATGCTTCTCTGAATGTTTTACATTTTAGCATGTTGACATGCCACGGCTGTCAACAGCTGACAGACAGGCAACAGCTAGTGGCCGTGCGGCAACTGCGACTGCAACTGCAACTGCAACTACTGCCTCCGCGGCGACTCATTATGGCCCGTTGACGATGACCAAGTTGGGCAAACGGAATGAGTTGCATAGTCAATGCTGGCGATGGCCAGTCTCGGTCTCAAGACTCCAACTCCGACTTAAGTCGCAAGATCTGCTGGTGCTGCTGCTCCATTGGCGATACAAAGTGCGTTTCGATCGTTTGCTGCTACGGCTGCAGCTTGAAAATTCCTAGAAAATGTGCACATTTCATCATCATTTTGAGACATGTGCTCCATTTCGCGTTGCCGGCCGCTGCCTTAAATGACTGACATAACTAAGTGAAGATGAATGCGCGTTGCCTGAAGCGAACAGATATCAATCATATTTGAAATACAGTAGCTCTGGCTACGGCCTGCCTGCAGTCTGTGGACCAGTTGTGGCCATGGCCAGTGCCGTGCCATACCGTCTGCCATGGAGCTAGCTGCGCACCGGACCATAATTATATTATGTGGCATGAATTATTAGACCATATTGGAGCGGGGCTAATGCATTTCTGGGAAATGCGCTCCCGCCATACCAAGCGACCGTAGAGGCCTGGAAATGATATTGCCTTAATGATGGTAATGACTGCATTGGTGGCAGCTCCATGGCTTCCCTGCCCCTCCTGCACCTCCTCCGCTTCTCCGCCTATCCATCCGCCATCTCTCTCTTTCTCTTTCGTTCCCCCTCTCTTTCTTGTTCCTTAAACGATTTTGTAGCACAGCTCGCGCCCAAAATTGGTCAATGTAACGTTAATTAAATCAAAGTGTTGTGTATGTTGGCTGGCAAGAGATCAGGGAAGCGCTCGGTAGGACGCTTCAGCCAGGAGCAGAAGGTAGGGGCCAGGGTACGAGCATGACAAATAGATACAAATGGTTATTGGCACGTACGTGTCGTTTGTCATTAGCCAGTCCGTCTGTTATATGCAACACTTGGCCAGAATGCAGCTCGGAGCTCACAGTTCAGAGTTTTCCATCAGCTGGCGGCTAAGCAAACAGCTCAAGGGGCGTGTCCATTGCGTCACGCCCACAAATTACATGGAACCGTGACGAAGAAGACTTTTGGGGTCGACGTAAGGCACACGCCGTGCTTTATTTGCATGCATCGTGATAATGACAAGAACTTCGACTCCAACTCTGACTTGAGGTCCGCTGTGCAAAATTAGATGCGTGCCACATGTGTTGTGTGGGCGGGCCACGCGCAACACTGTTGCATATATGATGAATGCGACTGATGAGGGGATTTTCGCAGCTCTTTAATGTTTTAGAATATGATTCCGTTGAAGCCAACTGGACTCATGAGATGCAAGTAAGGTAACTTGTCTTCATATATTTGACTGCAATTGATAGATACAACTTGATTTAGATCTTGCCCATGCCACTTGCCACACAATAAAAGGTCTGATCTCAACTAGTTATATATGTATGCACACCTGCGCGTACATTTTCACCTGTCAAGAGCATAACTGCTCGTTCTTTTCTTGCGGACTGCAAACTGACCTCTCAGCTTACAATCAACAGTAGCAGCAGCAGCAACAGCAGCAGCAGCAACGACAGCTAAACGTGCATGGCAGCATGGAAAATATTTATAAAATCCAACAATGCATTATCAAGCGGAAGTGCAATTATTCAACGTGCAATATTTTGCGGCAACTGGGCAAGTTGCCGTTGCCACAGCGGCCGCAGTTGCTGCTGTGTATATAACCAGCAATTTCTAGCGTCAGCAGCAATAGCTACAGCTACAGCTACTGCAGGCCAAGGCTCTAATTAGTTTTGCAATTTCTACGCGTTTGCTGCAATTGCAAGGCCCCGGACAGCCGTCGGATTTCAGCAGAGCTTGGCCCAGGCTGTTGGCTCTTAGCATCAGCAACAGTTGAGCGGACCCTAGACAAATATGCAATTAACAGCAGCAGCATTGTTGCTGCTTGTTGTTCCTGATGTTTTTGCACCACTTTGCATTGAGGAAATCGAGGATTTAAATGCCGCAGCAGCCAATTGGCCCAAAGTCGATAGCTAGCCAACAATTGGCCACCAAAAGTGCCGCTCAAATATTTAGACGTGTAATTTGTGGGCGTTGACAGCGGCATGGAGTCATTGTACTGTTACCCTACGAAAAGAATTGCGACTTCAATAGCCATGTAAACTACTCGAATGCAAATGACAACAACAAGAACAACAATGGAAGCAATGGAAGAGGAAAAAGTACGTCTGTGGCGGGCATAAAAAGGTGCGTTTGCATTTCTAATGAACACGCTACGCACTTCCGCTTGCCGGCACGCCATGAGTGATGGTAGCCGTAGGCTCGGCCCAGCTCGGTCCCCAGTTCCGGGCACAAACCCTCGCCACACAGAGAGTAAGAGGCTCGCCTTATTCTGTCATATTTTGCAATACTATAATTTTGAGTCATTGTTGGTTATGCGTGG